GAGGCCAGTGAGTCGTCGGATCAAGGACGAAGGCGGGGACACAAGTTGACTGGGCTTCTAGGAGGGCTAGACCGCTGGCGTCGGAAGCCGTCTTCCTCCTCCTCCGGCGCGACTCATCCACACAACCACCACCACCAACAACCACAGACGGATCAAGCCCAGCCAGCCGATGGTCCCGCGCCCTCGTCCCCGGCCTTCCAGGTAGTCAGACAACCTCGACCCAGACCCTCGCCTAACGGATCCACCGCGTCTAGACTGCCTAAACCGGCCGCGGATACGCTTCCTCAGCCCCTGCCCCTGCCTTCTCCGAACCCCGCTTCTCCCCAGTCGGAGCTGCTTCCGGATCACTCGGACTCGCTTTAAGCACGCTCCTCTCGCGCGCTCTATTCGTCCTGACTTTCTTCGCCCCATCGTCCCGCAAACTCGTCTCCGGCTTCGTCGTCCCCTTGCTTTTCTCTCCCCCCCCTTTTTTTTGGTCTGCAGCTTTAGTCCCGTCGGGTGGAGCTATCCATCCCCTCACGATCGGACCGGCTCTCGCAACTTACCTTCTTTTTGATTTTGCCTGCTCCTGCTCCTTCACTTTATTTTGTTTTCTTGAGCCGGGCTTTCGTCTCGTGCTGATTGCTTCGGTTATCTTTATCATTACCTTTTTTTTTTTTTTTTTTTGCTTGGAAATCTTTGTAATTGAATCGACTATGATTTTTTGGTTTTTGTTTGGTGGACATGTTGGTTTTGGTTTGCGGGGTTGCCGGGTTGGTCCTCATCGGTCCAACAACCAGTCCATCCTTTTGTTTTTATCTTTTTCTTCCATCAGTTTTTAATCAGCCTTTTTTTATAATAGTTTATATACATATATATATATATGTGTGTGTGTGTGTGTGTAGTTTTTTTTTTTCATGCTTTTTTGTCATTTTTGTTTTTCTGATTCTGATTAATTTGGGTTGATTGATCAATTGTGGATTTTCTTTTGATGATGATGATGATGGTGGTGGTGGTGATAATGATGATAATGGATACCTTATATAGAGATACATACACACTTATCTTGACATACACACTTATCTTGACATACACACTTATCTTGACATACAAATACTCAGTCAGTCACACATATTTCTAGAGTCTCACTAGCTTTGTTTTGAAGAATCTCTCCCTTTTTTTTCCTGCGTTAAAAGTTGTTGGTTAACTGTCTCTATTATTTTTCTTCATGGATGTTCTTTTTTGGTTTTTTGAGGATTGGGTTATAGGTATTGTCGTTTGAATAAAGCTTGGACAAACCAAGGTTTTCCGAGTGCCAAAGTTATGGCATTAAGTTTAAGCTGATCATTTCTGCCACACAGCTTTGGTTTGATTTGTGTTGCTGTGATCAAGAAGGCCCAAGCTGCATCCTAGCCAACCACCACCACCAACCATACCAATCCCCCCCCCCCCCCCCCCCCCAATTATCCTTGCACCAATACCAACCAAAAAATATCGATATACGGCTTGTCAATCATACAAGTCATCTACCGAGGTTCACACAATGTCAATGGGGCTTGGAGGAATCCTGTTTGTGGCCACCCAATGGTTTGTGTTTTTATTCCTGGGCAGTTGTTTTGTCATTCAAAGAGATTGAAATATTCACTCCGACTTGGGCTTTGGAGGATTTAAACAGAAAAAAAAGGCCTTGCAAGTCTCAAATCAACCTGATCACCCATAGACTGGGAAAACAGGCAAATGACCAGAGGAGGTTGTGTATGTCGGTCAATCTTTGCCTAAAACGGTGACAGACACCATCCATGAGTAATGTGTGCCATCTAACTGATCAAGAATATCAATGGTTTGTTTATGCATCTACTTTTGGTTTTTGTCTTCATAATTACCCTACCACCGCTTTGTTCATACTGTCCCTGACATCCTTATCACATGTTGCTTTTTGGTCGCTTACTCACTTCCTTAGGGTTGTCGGCACCACCCCCTGGTGTGCGCCCTGTGGGCGTGCACTTTTTACCAAAAAAGGGGGGGGGGGTGGCACACACCTCTAACCCTAACTTTATCAGGGACGGCCTGGAGAGTCCGGTGGCTCTCCCTGGACAAATGATGGGCATTGGACTGTCGGACTGATTGGCTGTAGCCTGTCAGGTACATCATTAGGAAATTGCACAATAAAAAACTGCCTCAACGGAATGATTCTGAGTACAAAAGCTTGACTGCCTACGATATGTTCCTCACTCCTAAAGAATGTGGCTGCGCACCCGGGTGCCGCTCCCGTTTTCACCAACAAAACAGGCACCTGTACCTGTACCCCGCACCTGCTGGCGTGTACCACGGGTGTACCGGCGGTATACCTGTGTGACTTATTCACTCTTTCTCACTTCAGAGGCTTGCAGTGGTGCCATAAAAAACAAAAAAAAATGTATTTCATTTAACTGTACCCCTTAAGCTAATTCAATTACATCAGGTAGACCCTTCATTGTTGTCAAGATCAATAACTTGATTTTGGCGCTTCTGCTTGGTCTTTTTGTTGTCTTTGAGTGCCCGCTTCCATTTGCTTAAGGACCCTTCCTTTATTTTATTATTCTTTGAGTAGAACACAACCGTCATACCTCTACTTACGGACTGAGGCATGAGTTGGTGCCTTTTTGCTGAAACGTAATCTCGACCAAAGCTAAAAGCTTGTTCAACATCAACAGACGTAGCTACAGATTTTAATACAATAGATGTCAGATACCCCCTCACCAATGTTGATGATAATATTGAACTCACCTGGGCAGCTTAAAATGTCTAGAGCCATATGTACAAGGCCCCCATGTGTATTACCTGCCCGTTTCTGTTGGATCCACCATGCAAGAGGATTCACAGGATTGGTACCATTGAGCACAAGGCCTCCATCTAGCCACATGTCAGATGGGTCGGACAAGTGGTCTCCTCCATTGGCCACAGCTGCACTTCCAAGGCTGGCCAGCATACCGGTCTTGGGCTGTGATAAAGGCAATCAGATAATGTCAACGGGTCCAGAACAGTGGAACAAACTGACCTTTGAGTAAGGCATGGTCCTGGGGTTCGGGACGGGGTTTGAGGCTAGTCCCGAGGAACGAACCTTGGGGTTCAGGGTTCAAACCTCGGAGCCCCGGGGTTTTGATTTTTTTTTTTCAGGTGCCGGATCAAGTTTCAACCAGCCAAAGAAGATCTCCTTTTGGCTGGTTGGCGAGGGGAAAGTCTGAACCCTCCCCAGCCAGTTGGTACAGACTCACCTACCGGTCACAAAGGATTCCTCCCCGGCTGATTGGTTCAATCAGTACCAACCAGCTGGGGAAGAATCCATCTTGGCCGGTAGACGAGTCTGCATCAACCAGCCAAGAAGGGCTGCCCTTGGCTGTTTGGTAGATGCTGTACCAACCAGCCGGGGAGGAATATCCCGTCGCCGGTTCGCTGTATCAACCAGCCCGGGTGGAATAACCTGTCGCCGGTTTGCTGTACCGGCCAGCCGGGAGGAATAAAGCTCCTCCTTGGCTGGTCAGTAGTGTAGCAACTCCCATAGTCCAGACCCCCTATGCATAGAGGCGGGTGTAGGGGGTGGGAAATCGACTCAACGACCATCGACGGACAGTCGTTGGGAGTTGTTGGCTAGAAATCTCTATAATATATCAAAACCCCGGGGTTCCGGGGTTCTGCTTAACCTCATCCCGAGTCCTGAACCCCGGGGTTCGGATTCGGCCAAAACCCTGAACCCCGTTGTGGTGTGCTGTGTCTGTTCCAATGCCAAACGCATACAGCAGAGGTGTTGGGATAGCATAGTTACATACATGTGACAATCATTACAAGAGAAGGAACAATCATTATGGATGAGGTGTGGTATATACGGACAGGATTACATACAATGAGTGGATTGGGAGAACATGTCTCGACCAGGAATGGAACATAGGAGCGGTGTGCATACGAGGAGTGGAGTGGGAGATCATATCTCAACCAGGAATGGAACGGAGGAGCGGAAGTATATACGAGGAGTGGAGTGGGAGAACATGTCTCGACCAGGAATGGAACGGAGGAGCGGTGTGTAATAAGGGTACTTTATGTTTTACGTAAGGGTACAGGGTACGGATTGTAGAAAGTGAAGGGAGGAAAAATATTGAGGTGGAGGGAGGAAGGAAGGAGTGAGGAGAGGCTTTGACCCCCAAATCCTGGGTGGAAGGAGATAACAGCAGGGCTGGCAGGCTGGTACTGCCTATGCAGAATGTTCTGGAAGATGGCTTGGTTGCCTGGCGATGCATGACATCATGCTGCATTTGTGTGCTCCCTTGCATGCATATTATGTGACAAGGTCTGGAGTTAAGTGTTCCTAGCACAGCATAAGCTGCGCTATTTGTTTGGAGGCTGTGCGCAAAGGCTGTGCAGGTGAGATCCCCTGCAGCAATATTCCCTCACACGGAGTCCCCTGCAGCAGAAATCCCTCACTCTTCAATATAAAAGAAGGACCTCTCACCACCAGAAAGTCTCTTCTCCCCATCAGCCTACAGAAGTCTTGCAGAGCAGTAAGTTGATCCTGAGCTACTGGAAGTGTTCCGGAGTGTCAGTAAAGTGAAGAGTTAGTATTAGTGATAGTTAGTTAGTTAGTGAAGTTAGTACATCAGCCTACTACGGTAAGTTTGATCACCCAAGTTGAAGAATAAGTTAGTAAGTGAGTTAGTTAGTGATAAGTAGTGAGTTAGTACATTATTGTAAGCGTGAAA